CCGCCCTCCCGGGCCGGCCTCCCCCCTCCTCTCCCTCCCCGCCACCGCTCTGCGGGGCAAACAGGTGTTTCGGCCCCGCGGCCAGGTCTTTCTTCCCCTGCCGCCGCCGCCTGCTTCTCCTGGCCGGGCGATGGTTCCCGCTCGCGTCTGCCACTGGCGACCCTGGGCTCTGCGCTCCTCTGCCCAGCGGCCGAGGCAGCTGGTTTGCGTGGGCACGCTCCTCAATACATGCACACTTGCAACTATGGACGGACTGGACTAAAACGTAGAGAGGGAAAAGAACAGCTCTCGGGTCAGGTGTCACAGCAGGCGGCCAGGCTGTCAATGGCAGGGGGAGAAATGTCTGTCGGTAGGTACATCTGGGAAGCAGAATCGCGGCTCTGTGAGAGAGGGATGCCACGCCTGGCCTGCACAAAGCGTCTCCGGAGTCATGGAGTTACGACGGGTGTTGAGGACAGGGCACGGTCGGTAAGAGAAGCGATGGGTTCAGAAAACGCAAACAGGACTCAGGCCATCCTTCTGCTGTGGCTGCAGACATTTTCGAGGTCTAGATTACAAACGGGGGGCTAACATCTTTGGAACAGGGTGGTCCCTCACCACATGTTTGTACAGCACCTAGCATCTCTGATGCCAGCAGCCGCTTTCCGACAATGCCAGCAGAGGCAGAATCCACCACCCCTTACAGTGAGCAGGGCTGCAGGCCTGGAAGCGGCGATTAGAACGGGCCTGTACGAGTCCTTATCTGGCGCTTCAAAGGCCTGTGTAGGCAGTTGCTGGTTCCTCCTTCTACCCTTAAAGACAATGCTTTTTCCTCTTCTCCCCACTCACGAGATGTATGCAGCTGCCAGAAGTACATAAGACTTACATCTTTCTCCTCTAGAGCTCTCAGGGTTTGTATGTGTTGTATTTTAGCAAGTTCACTGAAATCAGTTCCTCTTCCCCATCCCTCTGGCTATTATCCCCCTCCTCCCCTTCCCAGCTGTTGGTATGCAATTTCCACACCCCCGTAATCTACACTGGCAGCTGCTGGTCCCGGACCAGTGAGAACAGGTGGAAGGAGCTGGCAGGCCGGGGCCAAGGCTGTTGGTGGGAACAGAAGCATTGCGGTGCAGAGAGGCAGAGAGCGTGTGGTGTGGCGGTGGCAGGCGACGGGTGCGGGAGTGAGCTGTGGGTGGGCCCTGGCGCAGGGTCAGCATGGTTAGGGTGGGAAGGACAGCTGCAGCTTGGTGTTGATAACCCTGTAGCGGAAAGCCTGCAGTGAGCTGGCTACTGGCGTGATTAACTCTGCTGATTGCAGTTAGTAAAGGACTTTCTACCACTTACTATCTTAACTTTCACTCTAGTTCATATGTCTTTACAGATACTTACCTAATCTAAGTGAACTTCTTTCCTGTTACATCAGAGGAGCAGCTGAACGCATACTGCGCTGTGCTACAGCATTGATTGACAGCTGGGTTTAGCTCAAACTCTGATTTGTGTGTGTGCATGCACAGAGGAAATGGAAAATATGGAAAATGTTATTTGCATGACAGCATTTGTTTTGCTGCTACTGTTTGAAGTGGTATTTCAATGACTTTCTTTGCAATTCCAACAAAAATCTGATGAAAACTAAAGGACATCCGTCTAGTCATATTAAAATCACTTGAGAGTTTCCTAATATTATAAAGACAGCCTTCTGATTTTTTTTCTGGAAATAGAAAATGTATGTTATGTTTTGGGTTTTTTTCCCCTACAAGAAGGATCTAAGCTTTATTATAGTAGCTGTGCTTAGCAAGCTTAACAAAACCCCTAAACCCAAGGACACCTGTTACTAACAGTTATAGCTATAAGATTTTAAAACGTGACAGATGTGTCCCATGGTGATGCCTCAAACTGTACCAGTGTTTATTTTCTTGTCACTAAAGCACCCACTTATGCTTTGGCAACCAGAGATTCTGAAAAAAAGGAAGTGCTGTTACAGGGGGAGAGAGGTGCCATTCATATGCTCCCAGAAGCCACCTGGGTGTGGTGGGGGTTGAATTTGCTCCTCATTCTTGCCTTTATGAAAAATAAGATTATGTCAGAAAACTAGGTCGTAATCCTCCATGATAGAAGAAAAGCAGAGAAGCCATGGAGAGAAAGTCAGTTCCTGAAATAATCTGGGTGCTATGAAGTTCCTCCTCCTTACAGCCCGCGCGGACTGCGGCTCCTTTCCTGCAGGCCACAGATTTCCAGGGCCCTGTATCAAAATCCCATCGATGACAGCTCCCGCCTGAAGGACTGAGGCCCAACACGCGTGCTGTAATGGGAGTGGAGAAGAACAACAGGAGATCAGACTAGTTTATTGCTATCTATAGACAGCACACCTAATTTGCAGCCAGTCTTATCTCTCTCACTGTATTAAATCTGGAGTAAGCACTAATTAATGTAATGGCTCTAATAGATTAGAGAGGGAAAGCGTTCTGATTGCTGCTCACCCCCTCCTCCCCCAGATGATGCCGTGTTGCCTGGGTTTGATGTCTACAGAGTAAAAAAAGTGACGGTGCTTTCCGAAACCCGGCTCCCTGCACTAGCCCGAGGTTTCAGCCGCTCACCCCCTGGCTCTCCCAGGAGCCCAGGCAGTGCCTCGCTGCGCCC